CAAGACTACACAGCTGGCAGGTGGCTGAGCAGGGGTGATAGTCAGGCCTGATTCCCAGCTGGAAACCCTCTGCCGGCCAGGCCCCCAGACTGGTGCCTCCACGTCTCCCCCCCCACCCCCAAGCCCTAGTCTACAGCCCTGCTAGCACGCCTCCGAGCAGTGGGGGGCTTCAGATGCAGGACAGGAGTGGAAGTGTGTACCTTTGGAGAGGTGGAAGCTGGCGTGGATTTCCACTCGTTTCATGTGATGATACCCCTGTATTGCTCTGTGGATCACCAGAGTTATCCTCTGTGGATCACCTGGAGTGCTTTTAGAACCAGGATTCCTGGGCCTCAGTGTAGACCTACTGAGTCAGATTTCCCCAGGAAGAGGCCTGCCCTGGGGTTCTTATCCTAACAGCTTGGGGTCTGCTGGGCTAAAGCAATTATCAGATGAGTTTGGGAAATGATCTTTGAAATACTCATTTAAGTGGACTGTTTCCTAGACTCTCTCAATAGCATTAGCATTACATGCATCACCTCACTCAATCATCACAGTGACTCTCAGAGAGAAGTACTATCATCGTCATTTGCCAGAGCAGGAAACTGAGGCACAGACAATATCATCCCCACGTGTGATTGTTAAAAACGTGGACTGAGTTAGACTCTCCAGGGAAGGGTCCCTGGCGTTGGAGGGGGGGTTAAGTATTTATTTATTCATGAGAGACACAGAGAGAGAGGCAGAGACACAGCATTAGGAGAAGCAGGCTCCATGCGGGGAGCCCGACGTGGGACTCGATCCCAGGACCCTGGGATCACGACCTGAGCCAAAGGCAAACGTTCAACCACTGAGCCACCCAGGCATCCGTGGCATTGGTGTTTTAAAGCAAGCCCACCCCCTGCTCACTGGGTGCATCATGTAGGGTGGGGAAACACTGAGCCGGGTGGTCGGCCACCAGGGGTCAGCCACCACAGCAAGGGGTTCCGGGTGGCCAAAATGGCTCATTCCCTCCCACTGTGACGATGCAGTTCATTGTCCCCACCCGATCCCCAACAGTGACCAGAGCACCACCTCCGCCAGAGCCCAAAGTTGAGGCAGAGCGGGAGCCCCAGCCTGAGCCAGAGCCGGAGCCCAAACCTGAGCCAGTCAAGGAGGAACCCCCACCTCCTCCTCAACCTAAGAAGGCTCCTGTGGGTCGGAAGCTGACCGTGGGCATCAATGGGTGAGCTGGCCCCGGCCCGAGGGCCCAGCCTTCCCTCTGGCTGCTGCCCGGGGCATCCCCCCCACTTCTCACCATCAGCGCTGTCATTCTGCCGACCCTTAGGAAGCACAGGGAAGGGGTAGACGGGGCTCGGCCCTCAGAGAGCTCACATTCTGCCGGGAAGGCAACAATCAAATAAGGCACGCGACAGTCCAGTGACATGAGTAGAGCGGGAGTCGGGTACAGTTAGCGGCGAGGACCGCGGTAGCCAGCTCTGAGGTGGGCGCAGCTCAGTGCGCTCGGAACAGGCAGGAATCTGTGTGGGGAGCAAGCAAGGGAGCCAAGGGGAAGGAGGGGGAAAGCTGGCAGGGGCCTAGCAGGCCACGGTAAGCAGTCTGGACCTGACTACGGAGTTAGAGCAGAGGAGCTTTTCAAGCCAAGTGACATAATCCGCCCTGAAGTTCTACAAGATCCTCCCAGCTCCAGAGTCAGGAAGAGGAGGGTGGGATGGATGGGTAGACGAAGCAGGAAAAGCATTAAGGGGCCGGAGAGGACATGTGGGCAAGAGAAGACAGTGCCTGCACTGCGCCGCCGCCTCTGGGAGTCCCACCCAACCCCCTGAGCGCACCTCCTGTTAGCCCTTTCTCTCCCATCCCTCCTCTGCCTGCTGGCGAGGACTCTGAGCACCTCCCCTGCCACCCTTGTCCCTGGACAGATTTGGACGCATCGGTCGCCTGGTGCTACGCGCCTGCATACAGAAGGGTGTTAAGGTGGTGGCAGTGAATGACCCATTCATTGACCCAGAATATATGGTGAGCAGCAGGCAGAAGGTAGAGCTGGGAAGGGAGTGGGGAGGAGAGCTCCGTGGAAGGCTCCCAGATGCCATGTGGAACCTTCATGGGGGGGGTTCCCTAGGGATGCTCACTCCTCTACCCTTGCCACCCAAGACTGGGAGCCATCCTGTCGCCCGCAGGTGTACATGTTTAAATATGACTCCACCCACGGCCGGTACAAGGGGAGCGTGGAGCACAGGAACGGAAAGCTGGTGGTAGACAACCAGGAGATCAGCGTCTTCCAGTGGTAAGCGCAGCCCTCGGACTCGTGCCCGCAGCATATCCATGCAGGAGCTGTAGAGAGGACTAGAACAGGACTCCAACCTCTCACATGGGGGCCAGGATCCCCCAAACTGTGTGCACGCATGCCCCTGGGTACTGGGGCGGAGAGGGGTTTCCGAGAAGTCCCCGACCCTAAAATGGTTCAAAAGCACTAATCTAGAAAGGTGTCCCACTCTACTCAAACTACTTTTTATTTAACACACATTTACATGCTTTCTCACAGGCATAGCAACTCAATATGTTTAACCCCCAACCTCTGATTCTCCTTCAACCCCCAAACCTATTCATGTCCCTTCCCAGGAAATGGCACCACCACCCAGCCAACCGTTTCCGCTCGGTTCTTACACAGCAGCCACAGGGGCCTTTTAAAAACATCAACTGGACTTGGTGACTCCCCTACTTAAATCCTCCGACGGCATCCCATCCCCCCTGAATAAAACCCCAGGTCCTGATGGGGACCCCCTGCCTTTCCATGTTGTCCCAACGGTGCCAGTCACCTCTGGAGACCCTAAACCAGACCTCTGACACTCGGGCAATGCTGCCGAGTACCCATGTCACACGGTTCACACTGATAGTAATACCCTTCCTTCCATTTATTTATTTGGTTGGTTGGTTGGTTGGGGTTTTTTCCCATTTATTTATTTATTTTTATTGGAGTTCAATTTGCCAACATCTAGCATAACACCCAGTGCCCATCGCGTCAAGTGCCCCCCCTCAGTGCCCGTCACCCAGTCCTTCCTTCCATTTAAAGATAGGTTTAGAATCTGTAAATCAAAAGCAATCGGGTTAGGTGTTTAATATGCTTCAAATATAAACTTTTAAGATAACAAAAAATTAAAAATAAAAAAATGGGAACCCCCGAACCTGTAATCGGAGATTCCCTTTCTAAATATAGAAGTTAGCAGCCTCGGCTGGACCCCTGGGCCCGAGACTTTCCCACGCACCTGTGCATGCGTCCCGGCCAGGTCCCTCTGGCACAGCCACGGTGGTGGTGGGGGGGGGTTCGGCTTCTACTTGTGGGGCGGGAGGGCTGGTGAGGTGCTCGGGCTGGGCTGCTGTGGGAGTGGGAGGGAGGATGGAGCGGGGGACCAGGGTCGGTGAGGATGAGAAGCGGACCCAAGTCTGGAATCGAAACACCAAACACGATTCCGCAGGGCAGTCACTGCTCAGACGTCCCAGTCCTCTCCTTACTGAGCCTTACTCCTGCCACCCGGGCAGCCTCCGCGCCCTCCGGGCCCCCACACCGCTGCCCCCTCGGTGTGCACCCTGCACCCACGAGCTGCCTTCTCTGGCGACTCCCTCCAGGCATCCGCACTTCAGCCCTTCCTAGTTGGGTGACCTTGGGCAGGGGACTGCCCTTGTCCTAGCACTTGTCCTTCCTGCGGCTTCTGATGGGGATGATGATCACACCCACCACAGCCGGAGGTAAAAGGCGTGTGGGGACAGTGGAAAGGACATTGTCCCACAGGCCACAGCGTCCTCACCAGGAAGGCCCTCTCGCTTTGTCACCACCACTGCTCTGCACAGACGCAGGCCCTGACTCTGGGTAGACTCAGTACTTCCTTGAAGAATGAATGAGTGGAATCCTCAAAACAGCCCTCTGGGTAGAAGGGCAGGACCCAGGACAGCCTGGGGAAGGGGCTGGGGTCCCCTAGGGTGCCCCTTCGCCCCTCCCCTCCGCCCTGGTGCCGGCTCCTCTGAGAAATGCCAGCAACAGCACTTCCTCCTCAGGTCACCAGGGTACAGGGAGAGCACTTAGAACACGGGCACATGGGATCCCTGGGTGGCGCAGCGGTTTAGCGCCTGCCTTTGGCCCAGGGCACGATCCTGGAGACCCGGGATCGAATCCCACGTCGGGCTCCCGGTGTATGGAGCCTGCTTCTCCCTCTGCCTATGTCTCTGCCTCTCTCTCTCTCACTGTGTGCCTATCATAAATAAATAAAACAAAAAAAAATTAAAAAAAAAAAAAGAACACGGGCACATGGTAGGCGTTCAGTAAACGTGTGTAGAACGCCTAACAAAAAAAAAAAACCCCACAAGCACTGACTGAAGCCCTCTGGAGGGAGCAGGCTCTTGGCATAGAATCTAGAAGACCAGATAGATGCCAACAAATCATCACAGAAAGTACCACGGTGGTGGTAAACGCTGTGAGGGGAATAAACTAGTACACAGTTTATCCCTTTATCACTTGTTGGCTAAAGCCAAACAGGAAAGAACAACAGGTGGTTTGATGTGGCAAATACGAACATTTGATACCAAGTAGAAATGTGAACTTCTCGAACAGGAAACAAAAATCTCCTTTACCTTCTTTAAAAAAAAATACAAGATTTACTTATGTTTTATTTTTTTAATCTTTACGTTTCTTTTTTTTTTTTTTAATTTATTAGAGACACAGAGAAAGAGAGAGGCAGAGACACAGGCAGAGGAAGAAGCAGGCTCCATGCAGGGAGCCTGACGTGGGACTCGATCCTGGGTCTCCAGGATCACGCCCTGGGCTGAAGGCAGTGCTAAACCCTGAGCCACCGGGGCTGCCCTATTTATGTTTTAGAGAGAGAAAAAGAGCCAGGGGGTGAGAGAGGGGAAATCCAAGCAGACTCCAAGCTGAGCGCAGAGCACGACATGGGGCTAGATCCCATTACCCCGAGGTCACAACCCAGGCCCAAACCAAGAGCTGGCCACCCAGGCGCCCCTCCTCTACCTTTCTCATGCAAACCACTAGCCCCTGCTGGCCTCAGGGCTGCCTCAAGCCTCAGGGACTTGCCCAGCCCCTGGCAGCAGGCTCCTGGTGCAGGGGCCATGTGGTAAAGACAGGAGGGGCTAGGAGGGTCATGCGGAGGGTGCCAGGGCTGGGGCCCAGGAGCAGCAGGGCAGGCCTCACCTTCCTGGGGTCCGTTCTGTGCGGCGTATGCAGAATGGGCCTGACCTGGTTAGGAGCAGTCAGGGATGGTCCCGCTGGGTGTCGGAGACCTGAGTCAGGGAGGTGGCAGCTTGTACCTGGGCGTAGCAGAGGTGGTAAAGCCAAAGAGAGAAGAGCGGCCTGCAAGGTGGAGTTGGTGATGAAAGGTGAGACCAGCAGGGTGCAATCCATCGGGCCACTAGGATGTTGGGGTGGGGTGGGAAGAGATGGGTGCAGGCCAGGTAGGAAGGCGTCTGGTTGGCCTTCGAGCGGTGAAGGCCGTGCCTGCAAGGCAGGGCCGCGCTGGAAGAGCCCGGCTCAGGCGCTGCCACCCTTCCACAGCAAGCAGCCCCGAGACATTCCCTGGAAGTCTGTCGGGAACCCCTTTGTGGTGGAGTCCACAGGCGTGTACCTGTCCTTAGAGGAAGCTTCAGTAAGTGGGGGACAGGTGCCCAGACACCTGTGGGGGGGTAGGGGGTGTGGAGGCGGCCCTCGAAGCACCCCCTGCCACCTGTGCTCCTCCTCTAGGGCCACATCGAGGCAGGCGCCTTGCGTGTGGTCATCTCCGCACCCTCACCGGATGCACCCATGTTTGTCATGGGGGTAAACGAGAAGAGCTATGATCCTGCCTCCATGAAAGTCGTCAGGTAATGGGCAGCACCCTTCTTAAGGGTGTGAGTGGCACCCAGAGGACATGCCAGCCTCCCCCTCTTCACCCCCGCTCCCAGTAGACCCCTGGTGCTGCTTCACATCTCCTTTCCCAAAGCCTTGACGCCGTCATGTCACCGTTTCCCTAAAACTCCCGGTTAGAACAGCAGGACTCCCGGGGAACATGCTTGGGGAGCGTCCCCAGCTGTACCTCCAGCACCTCCCCTCAGCCTGAAGGGCACCCCCAGTGATCCCCCTCCTCCCCATCCTGACGTCCGCAAGACCAGACCAGGCCTGTGTGCATAACCCGAGAGAGGTGAGGGTGCAGGGCTGGCTCTGCGACTCACCTCACACTGCCCTGGCACACCTGGCCCGTTTCAGCAATGCATCCTGCACCACCAACTGCCTGGCGCCCCTTGCCAAGGTCATCCATGAGCAATTTGGGATCGTGGAAGGGCTGATGGTGAGCTGGGAGACAGAGGTGGCCAGGAGGGGCGGCAGGGAAACTCCACCTCCTCCCAGGATTGGCTTAGCGTGGGGGTTAAGAGGGAGAGAGACGGTTTCAGGGGGAGGAGCCAAGTGGTAAAGTCTCTTAAAACACTGTGCGGCCTCCAGACAGGCTGGCCCCTGGCCTGTACCTGGCCCTCCCGGGGTCTGTGGACGTCACCACCTCAGGCCTGGGAGCTTAGGAGAAGGGCTTAGCTCGGCCTTCTTCTTCCCCAAGACCACAGTTCATTCCTATACTGCCACCCAGAAGACTGTGGATGGGCCATCAAAGAAGGCCTGGCGAGATGGCCGGGGCGCCCACCAGAACATCATCCCAGCCTCCACGGGGGCTGCCAAGGCCGTTGGCAAAGTCATCCCAGACCTCAAAGGGTATGAAGGCAGAAAGCTGCAACCAGGGTTGGGATACACCCCCAGGAGGACTGGACTGGCCCCCAATCCTTGAGGGGAAAGTAGAGACTACGTGGGATGGATGGAGAAGTCCTGGGTTCTGACTCCCACCCCTAATGTGGGGTTTTCCAGGAAGCTGACAGGAATGGCGTTCCGGGTGCCAACCCCAGACGTATCTGTTGTGGACCTGACCTGCCGCCTGGCCCAGCCCACCCCGTACGAGGCCATCAAAGAGGCCATCAAAGCGGCAGCCAAGGGGCCCCTCGCTGGCATCCTTGCCTACACGGAGGATGAGGTAGGGGCTGGGGGGGGGGACCATGGGAAGAGCCCTCTGGGGAGGAAAGGTGATTTTCCTGTTGCCAAAGAGCTGCTCACGTCGTATCAAGATAGGGGCTGCAGGGCTGGGGAGGTCTGGAGGGCTGCTCTTCCCGCCTCAGGGTCTTTGCACTTGCTGCTCCTTTGGTCTGAATAGCTTTTCTTCCCGGTGGCCAAGCAGTCGGCCCTCAGCTGCTCCAAGTCTCGATTTCAGCTTCTGTCCTCAGTGAGATATTCTCCTTCTGACCCTCTTACTTGAAGTTCCCTTTCACGGTCAGCGTTGGCACCGCTAGCATGTGCACCACAGGAAAGCAGGGACTTGGGGGCTCCGTGGCTCCAGCCACCCCCCCCCCGGGGGCCTGGCACTTCTGCAGCTGCTCAATGGGTGCCTCAGGAACAAGACAGTGGCTCCCACTTTTCAACAATCGGTCAGGGTAGGCCAGGCCAGGCGCCTTCCCTGTGAAGAACGGCTGTCACCATGCATTTGCTCCCGGTCGCGCCATCTCTGCGCTTCCACCTTTGGTGCTGTCTCTGCTTTAGCTCCTACAGGTCCACTCTCACCAGGCTCTCTTGTTTCAAGGAAATCAGATCGCATCCCCTCCCACTGCTGGAAACCTTCCTCTGTGGCCCGACACCACACTAGGGCCAACCCCCGGGTTGGGTGGGGGGCCTGTGCTGTAGCTCCTTCCACCTCAGGCACTAGACCTCCAGACCCAGCCTCCGAGGGGGCCTCTGTGCTGGCCGGGATGTGACTGCTGCAGCCTCAGGGTGTTTGTGCTCTTCGTCCTTTGGCCGCAGGCCAAGCCCCCGTGTGCCTTCCTCCTGGGCCCCCAGAACCTGGACACAGCAGGGCTCCCAGACACTGTAGGTGAAGCGATGGCCAGGTGCCTGAGAGCCGGAGCCTGGGCTCCTGGAGGTCCTTGCTCCGCGCCCACACGCATCTTTGAAATTCGGACGCCCAGGTCGTGTCCACGGACTTTGTGGGCAACACCCACTCGTCCATCTTCGACGCTAACGCCGGCATCGCGCTCAACAACAGCTTCGTGAAGCTCATTTCCTGGTGAGGTGGTCGGAGTCCGCGGGGGGGGGGGGGGGCGGACCAGGAGCGGTCGGGAGGGGGGCCCTGACCCGCCGCCCCGCTCCCCAGGTACGACAACGAGTTCGGCTACAGTCACCGGGTGGTGGACCTCCTCGGCTACATGTTCAACCGTGACCAGTGACGCAGGAGGCCCCCTCCGCTCCCCTGGGCTCCCGGGCCGGAACCCGTGCCCCCCGTTCCCGCCCTCGCCTCCCCGGGGGCGGGAGGGCGCCCCGCTGTGAAATAAAATCGCAGAGTGCTCCCAGCCGCGCCCGTGTCGCTGCGCCGGTCCCACGGGGGCTCGGGCGCCCGCACTGCCCCGCCCCCAGCCTGGCTCCGCGCCGGCGCACTGGGGCCGCGCAGACTCGGGGGGCGGGGCGGCCGCGGGCCGTGACGTCAGCGCGCCGGCGCCGGCCGGGCCCCCGCTCCCAGAAGGCCGCGCGGGTCGCGGCGGAGGCAGCGGGCGCCAGGCCCGGCTCGGGCGCCAGGCGGCGGAGGCGGAGACGCGCGCTCCGGCGGGCCGGGCGGCCGGCGCCATGACCCTGTTCCACTTCGGGAACTGCTTCGCCCTGGCCTACTTCCCGTACTTCATCACCTACAAGTGCAGCGGCCTGTGAGTGCGGGGCGGCCGCGGGCGGGAGGGCGCGGGCCGGGGCTCGGCTCACCGCCCGCTCCTGCAGGTCGGAGTACAACGCCTTCTGGAAGTGCGTGCAGGCCGGCGTCACCTACCTCTTCGTGCAGCTGTGCAAGGTGAGGCCCGCGCCCCGGGAACTCCCCCTGGGAGACGTGCTCCGGGAGGGGGGCCGGGAGGGGCCCCCGAGGTCTCCGAGCCACCCCTAGTAGCTCTGTAGTGAAGTCGAGGAAACTCCGCCGGGCGGCGCAGCGTCGTGGACTGGTGGGAGGCGCGAACCGGTGCTGCCTCCACCGCTGGGGCGCCTAGCCCCGCACCTCCGTGCCTGACCCTGACCCCGACCCCGAACTCGAACTCCCGCCCCCCTTCTGGCCGTCCCGCTCCACAAGGGCCCCACCCTCCGCCTCCACGCCCGCTTCCTACTCATTCCCCTTGGGTGATTCCCGTCCCCCTGCAGCGACCTGTTTTCTGTTCTCAGATGCTGTTCCTGGCCACTTTTTTTCCCACCTGGGAAGGCGGCATCTATGACTTCATCGGGGTGAGTGGGGCAAGGGGCGGGGCGGGCGGGGGTGCAGGAGCGGGGGCCCCCTGGCCCCCCGTGCTCACTCGCGCGTCAACCCGACCCACAGGAGTTCATGAAGGCCAGCGTGGATGTGGCGGACCTGATCGGCCTCAACCTTGTCATGTCCCGGAACGCAGGCAAGGGGGAGTACAAGATCATGGTTGCTGCCCTGGGCTGGGCCACCGCCGAGCTCATTATGTCCCGGTGTGTGCAGCAGCCTGGCGCCCAGATCCCCGAGAAAGGGCACCTGGGTTCTAGGGAGGTGCTGGAGGGCAGGGGCTCAGATTCTGGGTGCTGAGGGTGTTTGGGTGCTGGAGAATCCCTCCCTTTGCCTTCCTCAGCTGCATCCCTCTCTGGGTTGGAGCCCGGGGCATTGAGTTTGACTGGAAGTACATCCAGATGAGCATTGACTCCAACATCAGTCTGGTACGCAGTCCTGCTGCCCCGCACACCTCATTGCTGCTGGCCGTGCTCTCCCCCGAGGCCTGCCCTGACGTCCTGCCTCCCTGCAGGTGCATTATATCGTCGCATCTGCCCAGGTCTGGATGATAACACGCTACGACCTGTACCACACTTTTCGGCCAGCAGTCCTCCTCCTGATGTTCCTCAGCGTCTACAAGGCCTTTGTCATGGAGTGAGCTGGGTGGGGTTTGAGGTTGGGTCTGTGTAGGGGTAGATTATCTGTTCTTCTCTCATTACGATGTTTCCCCACAGGACCTTCGTCCACCTCTGTTCCCTGGGCAGCTGGACAGCACTGCTGGCCCGGGCAGTGGTGACAGGGCTGCTGGCCCTCAGCACCCTGGCCCTCTACGTAGCCGTCGTCAATGTGCACTCCTAGGCTTGGTGCCCCCCGGACATTCACATACCCTTTCCCTGCCTCCCGGTTTCAGTGAAGTAAACAGTATTTGGAACGTTGGTTCTGCCTCCATCTCTCTCTGGAACTATCTACTGATACCACCCTCCCTGGCTTCTAGAGGCCCTCATTCTGGCTTTGAAGCCAGGTAGGCAGGCGGGGAAACTGGCCAGTACTGGTTTGTTCTGTGTTCCGCAGCAGTTCCCTGCTCTTCATTTTCCCAGGATAGATATAGCTGGAGTAGACAGTCTTTGAACAGTTGCACAGACCAGGGCCCTCGGGGAACAGGTGGTAGAAGGCAGCTAGAAGCCAAGAATACAGTTCTTGGAGGCTTTTCCTCACCCTTCCCTGGCTGCTGCCCTCCTAGGCTCTCAGCCCTAATCTCCCCTCATGATCCACCCTTCCTATGGCAGCTGAGGGAATCTGTCTGAAATCCCAGCTTTATTAGTGCACGCTCCCCATTTACAACAATCTAGGACTCCCCGTTGCACACTGAACAGTCCAACCACTTGAACTTTGGGTGTTGCTCTTGAGGACAGACTTTTATGGTTCTGAGCTCTTGGGTGCTTTGGTTTGCTACTGTAGCCCTCACATCAAATCCTGGCTGGAGCCTTCTCAGGGTGGAGTGCAGAAACCGCTACAGCCAACCAGCACAGTAGCCGAGCCCACCAACTCAAATGTTCTGGATTCCCCCCTCCCTATGTCTTGTTTCACTAACTCCTTGGGAGCTTCTCAAGTGCAATCAGAAACCGCCCCCATTATGCAGAGGGCAGAAAGGAGGCAGGTGGCCTTTTCAAGTTGGTAGGTGACAACCTTAAGCAAGGAAACTTTTCAAGGCTTATCTTTGGGTTGCAAGATTAGATCTTTGCACCCATCTACCAAATCTTGAAAGTTTAGATCAGGGCCTTAACTGGGTTCAGTGACATACGCCATCTAATGCCACACCGTTATCTCAAAGCTGTGTCCTTGGGGCAGCATCTGGGGGGGGGTGGAGGAAAATGCACATTCCAAGGACTGGAGTAGGTGAGGAGCCTCCCAGCTCACAGTTCAGTCAAGTTCATGTGCTCTCCATCTTCCTCCCCCCATGCCACCCCAGCCCTGCCCTGTCCTCGTGGAGCCAGCCCCCATTCCCTCCCCCTCCCCAAGCAGGGCTTTGGATGTCATGTTTATGCTCCACCTTGATGCAAATCCTGCCCACCCAGGAGGGTGTTCCCCAGCCCCCGTGAGTATTCCCACTGGGATCTCCCAAGGTGGGGATAGAGTCAGTGCCCCCTTCTTCCCTCTAGGCTGTCAGGTGCTGCCATAATGTTGCTTGACTCTGGACTAGGAAAGCACTAAACACAGCCGTGCTAGGAATCTTGGTGTGTTCCAAGGGGGAGTTTACCCTCAGGTGGGGCAGCCGCTACCTAGCCCTGCCCCCTTTTCATTGCCCCAAGTCCAGAAGGTCCACGGTGTCTTGGGGCAGGGTGGGGAGCAAGTGATTGATTGGTCACAGAGTATATGGGCACTCCCCCAGCCCAGGTGAAGATGGGATAGGATTGCTCTCCCACACCTCCATCCCATGTCCCACCTAACTTCAGACGAGTATGGGGACAGGTGAAGGTTACAGAAATGACCTCAACTATTTTGCTGAGCAGGGACTCCGATCCCGAGTCCCTGCTGGTGGCCAACTATGTGGAATAATCCCAGCTTCTACGGGGCTCAGGGAGACCAGAGTGATTGAGGGTGAAGTGGGGGGAGCTCAGGGCTGTGCTGGGGAAATGGGCTGGGGGGCAGAATGGGCTCCCTGGAAGAGAGATGTGAGCTGAGACCTAAAGAATGAGCTACTGGGGCAAGAGGGAAAAAGGTGGCAAAGCCTGTGTAAAAGCCTTGAGGTCAGAGAGCAGGCCCGGCTTTTCCAGTGAAATAAGGATTGGAGTAAGATGGCTCGTGAGCCGGAAGGCGCTAGGGGCAGGGAAGGACAGGGAGTCCAGAGCTCACCACGTTGCCCAGGGAGAAGGAAACACACTGATGGGACAGTGGAAGGGAGTGGGTTTGGAGGATGATGTACAGGCTACTGGGGATCCCTGGGGCTCTGCAGAGTGGGGCAGCCAGAGACAGATGTGGGAGCTACTGCAGAGGCAGAACGGAGGCCGTGGGAGGCTGTGGTGAGGAGGGGGGAGAAGCCTGGGGTCCCATCACAGAGGCGCATGCTGAGGAAGAGGTGGGGGGAGTGTCAAGGCAGTCGCCAGCAGCTGGAGAGACGGGTGTGAGGGGGGGACCTGGGACTTCAGCCTCCAGAGTCGGCCCCACCGAAGCAGCTGCAGAGAGTGAGCAAGTGGAACCAAGTGAGACACCCGTGAAGGGGGAGGCAGCATGCGGGGCTGCTAGAGGTAGGAGAGATCTTGACACCCTGAGGGGAGAAGGCGAGCACGTGGCAGGGAGAGAGCCCAGAGGTGGAGTCTAGGCGAGGGGACTGGCGACAGCACCACTCCTGGGTGACCGTGGCCCCGTCCAGCACGACCGTAAGCACAGTCACCGTAGGCAAAGGAATGGGAGCTCGGTCCCCCAAGGGACGCTTCCCCCCGAGTACCTAGATGCACTGGCTGTGCTCCAGGAGCCCCGAGACACAGGCCTGCACAGATAGCTCCTGAGCCCGAGGACTGCGAGGTCAAAGGGCATCAGGGAAAACCACTCAGGACAGCTCCCGGCACCAAACAAAGGCGTCGTCAGTGTAGCTGGTTTATTACTATCACGCGGCACAGGTGTGTATTGAAGCAGTACCCTGGGGAGCCCTCTGGGCACCCCGAGTGCAGACCCACCTCACAGGAACAGCCGGCGCCCCACCCCTGCCAACACCCCCCCTCCCCACTCTTCGGACCAAGACCTGGCCCAGGGACCGCCCTGATGGGGTGGGCTC